AGCACTGCTTCTGTTTTTCATTAAGACTGTTTCGCAAGGTAAATATTGTTGCTAGACGATCCATTTCTCCAAGTCAGCTCCTTTTCCTGGATGATCATTTAGTTTAGTGGTGACCATGGTTTTGTTTTCTAATCATTAATATGTTTTCTTTGGAACAGAGTTGGCTTCAAATGAAGATAATTCAAAAAGAGAAAAGTTACTCCCCTTGTTTTGTTTTTTGGTGGTTGTGCTGATGAGGCCGCGCAAATGAGGTAACAGATCGGACGCTGATGACAGGCAGCGTTTGTTAGAATATTTTAATGATTTCAGCTGTAGTCCGACTTGGCTCTCACATGCAGAAATCACTGCAGTGAATTGGCAGTTTGACAGAACACAGGCTCCAGGTTTAATTACTCTGCAAGCTCACGTGGCTCCTCAGCCATGACTTCGGGCCCAAGTGGACACACACCCTAGCCTGACATAAGACCACTATCTGCCAAGGCTTATATAAAAGACCCACGCCCTCCAGCAGATGACGTGACTCAAACTTCACCATCACAACTTGGGACTGAAAGAATGCTGGTCAATAGCTGTAGGCCATGAGAAAGAGAGTGGCAATATTCTGCACATGTTTATATTGGCAGGGCGAAGCTGATGTCTGAGAAACAAACTTTTAACGATTTGTGTGCAAGGGCATATGGGTGCTGATTTTTACTCTCTCTCTCTCTCTCTCTCTCTCTCTCTCTCTCTCTGTTTCTCTCTCTCTGAAGAATGTGGTCTAGTTTACTCTTTTCTCACATTTTCTCAGTCTGTGAGTTTTCAGGTGTTTTGCAATCAATCAGCCTTTATCGACTACGTGCATTAGTGGGGGTTCGCTGAAGTGTACGTGATACAAAGGATACGCACTGAGCATTAGTGGTTTGTTCACACACAAACATATGCATGGCAAATCTAGAGTCCTCCAACCATGAGAGAATATCTTGCTTTAATGTGGTATATTCTAGCAGCAATTGTCAGGTTATTCTGCTCTGCCCGAGGCCCCGACTTCGCAACAGAAACAGTCATTGTAGATGACAAGCTGAAATAAGCGAGACAAGATGTTTTTCCCCTTCTCTGCAGCAGATTTAAAGCTTGGGTTTTCCCCCGAAATCTTGAGAGAGAGAAGAGAGAGAGAGGGAGAAAGAGAGACAGCCTATAACATACTCCAAGAGGCGTTGAATGACATCATCCAACATTGTAGTCCATGCCCATTTCAGCGCTACATACTTGCACGCCTGCATAACTACTGAATGACAGCCATGGGAAGTGGGAGTATAAACTAGATCTGTTTGCCGGGGAGTCGGGATGATTGACCTGCTTATATGTGACAGGCATGTTCGCTCTGATACACATGGTTTTATACATTCACTAATCAAGTGCATCAAAGGCTCTCATCCTTTTACTCTTCTCTCTCCTTCTACTACCAGATCAGTGTTTCCAAACTAAAAACCTAAAACAGCTGCAAATGCTCCGAATAGAGCTGCTTGATTCAATTGTTGTTGTTTTTTTTTCCCCACAATTTATGATATGTACATTACCTATAAGCCAAAGGATTATGACCATCCCTGCCTTGTTTTATACCACCAAAACAACTCCAACCAACCAAGGCACTTGAAAAAAAGACATCTGAGGATGTCCTGTGGTGTCTTGCATCAAAATGTTGTCAGCGGATCTTTCAAGCCCCCCCATCCCACCACTACGAACAGAGCCCCCAGTGAATTGGGAATGCTCTGATCCAGCTGTTTGGCCATAGCAATGTGGCCCTTGTGGAAGTCGCTCAAGTCTTCACACCTGCCCATTTCTCCCACAACAGTCGAGAACCAACTGTTCACTTACCACCTAATATATCCAAGACCTTGACATACTAAAATCTGTTCACATCGTCATCTATATTCCCCCCAAATGCACTCTAAAAAGTCAATAAAGAGACATATACCCACAATGGCTGTATTTGGCTTTGCATCTGTTTTTCCTATTCAGATAACACTTTTAAGTTGCAAACATATTTTGGGTTATTCTGGTGATTGCATCAACTTAGTATTTTATGTATTTCAATACACATTTCTGTTTTATTTGATGCAAAACTAGATTCAACCTGAAGTCACTTAATGATTTGATTTTTATTCACCTAGAGTTCAGGATTTCAGTTCTCCTCGTCTAACTTAATGTGCCTGGACAGTTAGGACTCTTAACTCAAAACACCCTTGATTACAGTTGAAAAGCTAATTCTCCTAGCTCAATGTACTGTGTTAGTTGGATATAATTTTACTAGAAGTTTTCATAACTCAGAAAGATTGATACTAACTGTTTTTTTAGAGCATGTCAGAATGCAAAATTGTCACTGACTTTGCCAGTTGTGGGACTTCTGTTTCTCCCTAAGTAGCATTGCATACTATATCTGACTTCATAACTATGCCTATTGCAGATTGAATAGTAAGTCCAAGGCCTTTGCATAATGAGATTGCTGGTTTCTATGGTTCCCTGATATCAGAGAGGACAAAAAAAAAGAGAGTTTAATGGTCACGTTTTCTCTTTGCGTGATTTTAAAACAACCATGGGATCGTTTGCCTCGCTCATTTTGCCTTTGTTGGGCTCACAGTATGATTTCCACTAAATCTGACGCAGCACTGATTAAACCTCCAGACACAACAAGAAAGGAGACCCACAATGGAGCACAATCTATATATATGTGGATCGAGTGACTAGACAAAGAGTCTTCTATATGTAGCTCAAGACAACCAGTATTACCATTAAAACTGTCTGTGTCTTTGAATGAATATTGACGTCATGAAGCGACATATATCACTGCTACCACAGAGGACTATATTGTCGGAGAAATCAATGAGGCGACAGATTGTCTCTTGTGACACGCCTGGGGAGGCAGGATGAAGATACAGTTATACGCTGCATACATTTAAGTGAGAGGCTTTCCCTTAGTTCTTGTTTTTTTCTGAACCATATGTGACCACGCCTCTGCAAACTCACACTGCACTGACAGTCGTACACAAATGTCACCAATCTATCAGGTCTGTGTGATTGCAAGGCTGCTGTTTAAGTGAGCAGAAGGAGAAATCAGAAGACAGAGGAAAGTGGTTGGCGCCTATTTAAAACATCTAAGATCACTGCTGTGAACCTTGCACACAAGACACATATTACATCTCTATAAAATATACATTTAAAAGACAAACTGTGTCTAGTAGGCCAGATGGTCATACTTGTTGTCATAATTAAGAGTGGCTAAAAAAAAATCCATGTGTTCACTTCAGTTTAATTATAGACAATGAAAGTCATTTGGAATAGCTGTTTTTTCAAGCAACAGGACTAATAAAGAATATATTGTTGATTATTAGCTTGTATTAGTTCTCAGTTATTATTCCTAAAAATACTAGAGCATTAGTGCTTTTAAAAGTGTGTCCCTGCATTGTGGCTTTAACTTCTTTTCTGGTCATGCGACCCATATTCTGTCTCTTCTTGGAAGTTGTTTAATGTTCTACCAGATCCATATTCTTCATATCTGTCTGTTGCAGTCTGTTTAGGCTTTTCTCATCTTGATTGTTTATACTGTCATGCTTTTTTTTTTTTGTTGTCTTGGTTTGTTTTGTGAAACCACATCCATCGCATGTCTGTCTCTCCTGGAAGAAGGATTATAGCTCTTCCTGAGGTTTCTTCTATTTTTTTTTTTTTTTCTGGCTAAACAGCTCTTTGGGTAGTTTTTCTTTAGCTAAATTGAGTGTAGAATGACAGAGGGAGTTGCATACTTTATGAATAATAAGGCCTCTTGGGACATATTTGTAATAAGTGATATTGGGCTACATAAATAGAAAGTGACTGGACTGGATTTGACAGGGAGTGCCCAGAGTAATTAGATTTCCATGTAAATCTAATTACCATCTGTTAAGCTGCTGATGCAAATGGTATGTGGTATGCCATTTTTTTTTTTTTTTTAATGATACAAGCGATGAACATGTTCTGCCACCTTCTTCATCTTTTCCCCTTTTAAAGTAAACCCTTAGTTATTTCCATCAGTGTGGAATAGTTTCAGTCTGCCCAAGGTCATCCAAAACACTTGCCGCCTCTGCACCCAAAGACGGTTCCTCGTGGTTCTGCAGAAGTCGTTACATTGGGCTGAACTACAACTAGTCCTGGTTTACAACCAGCATGGCAGCAACACCATCCAAGCCATACATCACCCTACAATTAGCATCAGGCCTCAGACTGATTTGGAGTGGACTGCCCAGTAAGTCCACACACATCCACATAATTGCAAACACGCAGGCACACAGGCACACATCACTGTGTGCAGAATCTGCAGGGAACACAGCTGAAGCCACTATTTTTGATGTGTGTTGAATTCACATGTGTTATGTGGTCACTTTGTAGCACACATGCAGCTCTCTCTCTCTCTCTCTCTCTCTCTCTCTCTCTCACACACACACACACACACACACACACACGCATTACATATTTTTATGACTAATTGGAAACACAAGTCAGACACAGAACATCATTATGGAACAAGTGAATTTATACAAAAATACATTTCTTTATATGTTGAGCCTGTGTGTGGTTTTATTCCGTTAACATTCAAACAGCTGCACTGGGATGCACTGCGGGATATAAAGCATAATGATTCTCAACTGCAACTTTCCACTCCTGAGCAGACTCTTTGTGTCTGCAGCTAGCCCACTGCTAGCGGTGCCTCTTTGCATGTGTGTGTGCAACCTCATGGTAAAACACATCAAAGCAAATCCCCCAAGTAGTGTGCAAGCTACTACGACATAAACTAGATCTCGCCCCTTATGGTATAATGTTATTGACTTGGAGACAAAAACAAAAAGAAAAACAGCAAAAACACTCAATATCCAACTCATACACACACAAATAAACCTATTGTGTGAATAGGTGAACTATTTACAGACAGAAAGGATATCATAAAAGTTGAAAAAAGACATACTAGAATGAATAGTTAGAAGAGTACTCACAGCTAAGTAACAGAGTGCAGAGCACCAGAACTCCAGCCATCCTTCTGCAGAGCCCATTCATTCCCCACATGGATGCAGCCATCCTCTCTGGTCAGACTCAGCTGGTGGGACTCTGTGTGTAAAAGTAAAAAGTGTGGGAAATGAAGGTGAGCGCGAAGGTTGGGGGAGTAGGAGGTTTCCTGTGAGGTCTGAGTGAGCAGGACAGACAAGAAGGATAAAGCCTGGCTTGTGTTCTGTTTCTCTTTATATGGCCCCACTCCTTCGGCCTCCCTCTCTCTCTGCTCTTTCCACACCCCTTTTCTAACTGCCTCCTGTTAACCCATTTCCCCCAAAGCAACAGTCCCTGTTTCCTCCCTTGTCCCTGTGTGTGTGTGTGTGTGTGTGTGTGTGTGTGTGTGTGTGTGCGCACGCACACATATGTAGCAGGCACCAGAATGAGATAATGAGACGTTAGTGGGTGAAGCATAGCAACAGGCTAAGCTTTATGTTTGAGGTAGTTTGGTATTTTTTCACAGACATTGGTGCAGTTTGTGTGACAATGGCACTATTTCTGAAATGTAGGTGTCATGAGGAAAGTTTGAGGTGATGCTCTCCTAGACAAGCTGATAATATAAGCCATTTTCAAGTGGCCTGTCTATGAATAAAGTACACTGGCTCAGCATTAGATTCCAATCGAATATAAGCACATTTTTGAGCTCAAATTCACAACAAAACCAGCTTCTGTTTCACTCATGCAGACTTTGTGTTGAAGTAGCTAAGTAGGCTCTAATTTTGGTTTGTGCAGATGCACCTGGTAAACAAGAGACACTCCTCCTGCCTCTGACATGCTGTGTACATGCGTAGCTGAGAGGCCTGTAAAAGCACATGGCGTCACACACATTGCTTGGCCGCAGCTTTTGTACGTCCCTGGACAGATGTCTTACAGCCAATAATGAGTCATCCATCGAACCACACGTATACGCCATGCATGCCTACATGTAACATACACTCTACTTTTCAACCGCTGTAAAACACACGCACTGACATCATGGACGAAACGCACATGCTGTTTCACAATCGCACCACATCAGCAGAAAATGACAAACGGTTGCCCCAATGTGTGGTGTGTTGCAGGAGTGTGATGAGGGGTGTTCACCGTCCATGTTCACACAGACACGTGTTGTTCCACAGATCCGGGCAGGCCACATCTGGAAGCACTGCAGTCCCACTGCTGGCTTTTTGAGGACTGCCTGGAGACTTTCTTGTCAAACAATGCAACCATATGAGGATGAATGCAACCAAGATCAGGCCGTTGTGTGGAAACAGGCGCCCCTGCTGGTCACCTTCAGACCACAAGCTTAGTACGGAACCACTTGCAGTAGTCTCAATTTAATAAACTGAATGTATGATTTAAAAGGTTTACATAAGTAAGAATGTTTAAACAGAGTGAGAACCACTTTGAAGTTGACATGTCGAGGCCTACAAGAGCCTCTGAAGATGTCCTGTATTGTATCCGTCACCACAATGTTAGCAACAGATTAAGTCCTGTGTGTTGCAAGGTGGGACCTCCATAGATGGGACTTGTTTTTCCAGCACATCTTAAAGCCATTCAATTGGACTTGGATCTGAGGAATTTAGGGGCCAAATCAACTATTTGAACTCTTTGTCAAGTTCCTCAAACCTTTCCTGAACTGTATACTATATCCCCTGAAAAGAGCCATTGTAAAGAGAGAATCAGTGTTGTTCACTTCACCTGCTATAAAGAAACTGTAAGCAAGATTAAACAGAAATAAACAAATGTAAATAAATAAACAGATGAAATGTAATCTAAGTTTGGTGTTATTCAGGTCCAAGACAATCCGTGTGATAAAGTAAAACCACATTAAAAGTAACAGGCCAGTAAAGTGGACAAAGTGACATCAACATACTGTAGATATAAACACCTAGTTTTCACAAATAAATATCATCCATTATCTATATACTGCTTAATCCTCACCAGGGTCACGGGGGGGCTGGAGCCGATCCCAGCCGACTTAGGGCGAAGGCAGGGGACACCCTGGACAGGTCGCCAGTGTATCGCAGGGCCACACTTAGAGACAGACAACCAAGCACACTCACATTCACAGACAATTCACAGATACGGACAATTTAGAATCACCAATTAACCTCAACGTGTTTTTGGACCTTGTGGGAGGAAGCCGGAGAACCCGGAGAGAACCCACGCTGCATGGGGAGAACATGCAAACTGCGAACCGGCAAACTTCTTGCAGCGAGGCAACAGTGCTACCAACTGCGCCACCTTGCAGCCCACGCTTTGAGATGATACTCTCAAACTTCTTCCTTGGCATGATCTTATTAGATGGTAAAAGATTATCTTGGTGCAGTATAGCTAAACCCTATTTGAATGTGAAACGTGTTTGTTTATAGCTGAAGAATCCCGATGTTTGCATGAGATTTCTCTCGCATCATTATCCCCCCTCCCCCCCTCCTCATTTTACTCTTCCCATTTGACTTATTGTGGTTTTAAAAGCACAAAGAATGTCCTTGTAGCGAGGGGGGCATTGCCAGGACATCACGAGGATCAGCACATGGCAGCAGGGAATCTGACCCTCTGGGACCTGTGTTTGGGGTTTTTTTTTTGGGTGGGTGGTGTGTTTTGAATCTTTTAGAGCCAGCGGTATGAAGCCATCCCAGGAACACAGCTGACATGTGAGCGATTGGAGATACTTATGAAGGAAATATTGCTTACATTAAAAGCTCACAATCTGATAAAAAGAATTTACACTACAATACGTTTAGAGGCTGACTTTGACTCTGCTGGCCTTGTTTTCCCTCTTTGTACACTGCTGTCCTTTGTCTTTACTCTGCAGCCTTCTGCTATGCTGTGGCATACCATAATATCATAAAGCTGAATGCTAGGGGCTGTTTTTCTACGGACAGCAGAAAAAATATTTGACCATGTGAAATATCTTTATTCTATTTTGAAATTTGTACTTGTTCGCAAAAAAAAATCCCTTTTTTCACCTTAATTCTTTTTTGTAGAGTCAGCAACATTTTTTAAATCACCACCTAAAATCTACAATGTGTAATGATTTTCATACATTCTTAAACAGCTTAGTCTAAAAAGTATTATTATTAAAAGCATTATTATTGAAAAATGAAGTTAATGACATGCTATTAGAAGAGCTCAAACTGAGTTCATCTGATCGAGCTGTGATAAAGATACCAATAAATATCCCTGGAAGTTGAGAGGCTTTCCTGCTTTCCTCTTCATTAGTGGAGCCAGGGTGTGGTTTATGTGCAGAGCGACTCTGTTGGAGAGGTTTCCAGAACATGGAAGTCAAGGACGATTTGACCAGCATAGTTGTGGAAACAAAGAAAAGTCTTCCATCTGTGTGTGATGACACTCCATTCAGTCCATCCATCACCACTCCTGCTTCTAAATTCCTCTTCTGTTTCCCGTCATTCTCATTCCCGTCATGCTGCGTCCCAACAGCTGCGGCGTCCAACCCGGCCTGCGTGTCCAGAAGTGTGCAGACAGACCCAGAGATGACCCCAAATCCACGACAGATGAACATGGAAATGTGTTTATACTCATCCTTAACCCTGTGGCTCGTGCTATCTTGATGCCAAGCCTTCCACGTCCGTTACACAAGACCGTGTGAAGCGGGACAGACCTGGCCGAGTGTTTCCGCACTATAATGACAGGGCAGGACCAGAATCCAGTTTCTCACCAAGAGAGCTGTGCAAAAGAAAACACAACACAAGAAGACGTAATGAAGGCAGCAATATAACGCAACACAACAGCCAGACCTCTGAGCTAATCAATACGTAGACAATAATCCCACATTCTCAGGGTCAATGAGTTCCTCGATGCAAAACTTTCTGAGGAAACAGATGTTAACCTCACATGGCATGGTATACAATTCCTTCATTACACACCATACACCGTATGAAGAGAGAATCTAAGGCTCTGTAATCAGTTAGAGCATTTACACATAAAATCAAAAACCAAAATAAACATAATCTGCTTTCAGGACATGATGCTGCCACAATGTTATCTTGACACCAGTGACACGTTCTCCTGAGGAAAACAGACGACAGCAGGAGACTGAGATACAAACAGGAAACAGAGCCCTCCTTTGTTTTACATCATGTTCTGGGAAGCCCAAAAAAAACCTCTCTGTTTAAACCCCACTCACAATGCTGTTAAATATGCGCTGCAGGAAAAACAAAGTAAATATTTGATACACAGTCGTGATAATCTCGAGGAGAGTTGGAGACATTTTCCCTCCCTTACTTTCTCATTTAGCTCTGATATGCATGACCTCCCTGCTTTATTGATTCAGAGGTCTGCGTTGTACTTTCCAAAACACAGTTTTGAGTGCAACGCCAAAATCCTCCCTTTCTTTCTCCTCCCACCTTTAACTCTCCTTCGTTCTCTCCGTTGCCTTGATCCCATACAGATGTTCTGTTTTAGCACTCCCCTCTGAAGGGAGCCTCCTCCTATTGTTCATAAAAATCAGTCCCCTGGCGACCCAACCCAGCACGCATGGACTGTGTGCAACTGCTTCATGAGCGGACAACCATGCATGCTCTTGGATGCATATAATCGCAACTACAGTTAGGCAACAATTGCAACACTTTTTTGGAAGATCCCAGCTCAGAGGAGAGCACGTTAATAAAACTCACTGTCCTCTCAGCAACTGTCTCACACACACACACAATACAGTACACACCCTGTCTCTGCCTCTCCACAACCTCCTTTAAAGTCTCCTCGTCATCCACAGCTTCCTCATCCTTTCTCCCTCGCTCTCTCCCTCTCTTGCTTTTTTTTTTTTTTTGAAAAGGGCAAACTCTACAGGCCTGTAACTAGCCCTAATTGGCTCTGATTGGGTGGCTTGGTAAGACATCTTGAAGTGATTTATGCTCAAGGTTGAGAGGGTTGTGAAGGTTAAGAGTGCTTTGGGTCCCAGAGATTCTAAATCATAACCTCAGGAGCTTTAAATCCCTGATCCAGATTTTCTTTAAGCATATCTCTGCATATTGATGCAGAAGAAAGCGCTTGCTGAGAAGCAGAGCGAAGCGTTTAATACTTCAAAAAGCATTTCACAACTCATATTTCATTTCCATGTATATGACTTGCAATTCCAGTTTGTGCAATTATAATGAGCGATCATTAATTAGTCCGTAGCATGTAGCTATTCTGATTTATATTAGCCACAAGTGTGAGAACAGTGGCAACGTAACTGCGGTATCGTA